CAGGGACCTAGTTCCGTGCACGCCTATACCTTGGCAGTGCTCCTTCTCCCTCCGCGCAGCAAGCGCCTCGTTCCTCTCCGCCTCCCTCGCCCTCGCAATCTCCTCACGTCTAATCTCCCGCTCATTCTTCTGCCGCTCCATATCCTTCTTCTGCTTTTTATACTGGTCGATACCGTCGTCACCCATGAGCTCCGACTCTGCGACCTCGACGTCTCCGCTCTCCTTGGCGTCGCGAAATGATTGCAATGTGCTCGTCGTCTCGCGCTTCTTCTCCAATTGGCGTTCGCGCGACCCCGGGTCTGCACGCGGAGCCAGTTCTTCCAGACGGTCCTTTTGCGCTTTGCGCTCCGTCTTGCGCTCGTGACGGAGATCGTCGTTGTGTGCTGCGCGGTCGCGGGAGCGGTCTTCCTTGCGCATCTCGTTGCGGTAGGTCAGGTCGTCGAGTCTGGGTATGGTGGGGCCATGGCCTGCATGTCTTGCCAAGTCGGTAGGTGGTGCGGGCCCAAAGTCATCGTCCTCGCTGCTTTCATGGCTGTCTTGTTGTGGCTCATATTTTGGCGATGCGCGTTTGGTCGCTGCGTGAGGTGAGGGTGGGCGGAATGATTGTACGGTTTCTTGGGCCGTCTGGAGCATGGATGGGTCGTACCAGCTACGTGCGAGTTCTCCACGATTCCTGCAATATTAGCAAAACTTTCTGTTGTACTTGTCAAAGGCGAACATACCATCGACTCGTGAAGCTCTTCCATCGGCCCTTGACCTCACGTTCATCCAAGTCATCGAGTTGTATATGCTTTTGTATGTCCAGATAGGACTGGAAGAGCGGTTTGTATTCCTCAAACTGGCGCCTTGAAAGCTGCTTGGCTTTATATGGCAGCACTACAGGCTTTGCTGCTGGCGAGCGCGTGCGCCGTCTCTTGTGCCTGTGTTGATGATTGTCCTCGTGTGGGGAGCGGGAAGGTCGCGCATGGTGATGGCTACTATGGCCATGTGACTTGTGTGATACTTTGCTTGTATCGTTGCGGTCGACGCTGCGAGCTCGAGGCATTGTTGCTGATGTACCGGTATGACGTGAAGATGCTGTTCAAGAGTATGCGGCAGCTAATGTTTAGCACGACACAGCACTGTGACAGGATGGTTACAATCCAAAGAAAGATATTGTGTCTCAAACAGTATACTGTAGTGTGCCCAACAACGTGTATACACTTCCTCCTCCTCCTCCTCTTCTTCTTTCTGATTCGCAAGCGTGCTCAGTGAAGTTTATTGTCACATTTGTAGGCGGGCCGTTTCCGCATCTCGGCTCCACTTGCTAGGCTTGAATCGGCCATTTGAGGTAACGATAGGGCACGTGCACTCCTTGACCTTTTGGCTCACGTGCTTCACGCCACCAACAAGAGTCCTACTGCTTTAAGCATCGACTTATACCTATTTGGACAGTCAATCTCAAACGCTCAAGTCACTCCCAGAAACACGAGACATGACGAGCTCACCCTTTTCGCCATCTATGCTTGCTCATCATGGAACTGTTTGATACTGATGCCATCGCCGCTAATTCAATCCTGGCCATGACCGCATGTGAAAGTGTTTCCAAGGGTCGACGGGGTCTAAGCTAACTTGTTATGGTAACCGGTAGATGGCAGCCACCGACCTTCCCAAGAAGACCTTCAGGGCGATTCATCCCATCTCCTGCGCAAGATGAGATCTTCAGTCTATATACACCTAGCCCTTACAACGCTTCTCAAGCCCACATCTATCCCTAGAATGGGAACAAGCGGACGTTGAGAGCAAAGTGGGTGACGTAGTCTTGTGACCTGCTAGCCCCAGCCTTATACCGGTACGTGATGGTAGTCTGCAAGTTCAAAGTGACCCCAACTTTCCAGTCAACATCATCGGCAATCATCCAAGGCGATGCGACGATATCTTTGCTAACACAGCAAGTCTCGTTACCCGGTCGCTGAACCGGAGTACGTACACAAGTCAACACAACACAACACAACACAACAAAGAAAGTGGGTGGGTTCCCGAGTTGCAGGCCGCAGACGGACGCACGCGCTACATCAGAGGCTGAAGCTTACCGTACCTTGCACAACCCCCCGCCGCGCATCCGGACCTTCACCCTTCACAGCTCTGCTTCCCACCCCAGCTAATCACTTATCATTTTCTTTCTCGATCCATTCACCCTACAACCCACACTTGGAATAACGATTCACCGATATACGCGTCTGTAGATTGGACAAGACGCCCAAGATGTTTGGCTTTATTGCCGACGGCTTAACGTACGTGTTCCCCGCACTTTGTGGAATGTAGAAATCTAGAATATGGCTGCCGTCGTCATCGCCGCCGTTGGTTCGGAGCCTCACGACCACCACATCAGGCCATGGGCTGCTCGCAAAACATATCTTTCACCCCAATACTACCTTCAAACCCAACCCATGCCAAAACATATATCAAATACAAGCTAACACGCCCTTTTTTCACCAGCATCGCCACAACAATCCTCTTCCCAGTCTTCGCCTCCTACAAGGCCCTTCACACATCCGATCCCGCCCTCCTCGCCCCTTGGCTAATCTATTTCGTCGTACTCTCCCTCTTTACCGTCGTCGAGAACACCTTCGCCTTCATCCTTACCTGGATCCCCTTCTACTCATGGCTTCGTTTCTTCGGACACCTTTACCTAATCCTACCTGGGTCTCAGGGCGCCACCTTCCTATACCAAGAGTACATTGAGCCCTTCCTGTACCACCACGAGCGCGAAATCGACGACTTCATAACGCAGAGCCATGACAACGCGAAGAAGGCGGGCATGCAATATGTAGAGACGGCCATTGAGTGGGTCAAGGTCAACGTGCTAGGCTTTGCAGCACGCAAGCCCGAAAGCCCCAGGCCAGCAGGGCAGAGCTATGCGCAGAATCTCATGGGGAGGTTCCAAATGCCCAGTGCACGGGGGAGCAACGATTTGTACGGGCTTGTGAACCAGGCGCTCAGCGGAGCAAGTGCCCTATACGGAGCCGGTGCCGCAAGCAGCAGTTCCAGAGACGCACAGGCGTCAGATCTGAGCCGAGCCGCCGGCAACCTCGTCCCAGACAGTATCCGCAACAACGACGACCGCCTCAACTACGTCGCCTCGCAGCGCCAGCGTCTGGAAACCCTGCTCCAGGCCTTTGACCGCGAACAAGAGAATATCCGCGGCAAGCAGGCTGCCGGTGGCCTGTACCACGATAACAGCAGCAATACGAGTCTCGGCGGGAATTTGTCGCGCAACCGGAGCGAGGCTGAATTCGACCGCATCGAGCGTGATGAGTTGAGTTCGCATTCGGGGTCCGAGAGGCCGCCCTATCCTATTACGCCACCGGCGCTGGGCCGGAGAACGAGCAGCGGGTGGATGCCGTGGAATTGGCAGCAGAAGCAGCAGCAACAGCAGCAGGAGGATCCGCTGGCCTATGGCAGGGAGCCTGGAGAGAGGAGGGCGAGGGCAAGTGGGTTTGATCTGGGGGATCGATAGGTAGCATCCTTGGAGAAGAAGGAGTACTGCGTGATTGCATGACCTTTGGGGTTGCGGTTGTATCGCTTTGGTGTTATTTAGGGTATCATCTAGAAGCCATCAGGCTTGATCATCTCATCAACGGGGCCTAGCATGTGGACTCGGGGAAAAAAAAGGGTGACATAGAATACAACGTACGCCATGACATGATGAACATTTTACACGCAAATTTCAACCCAGTATCATGGCACAATCGTGATTCGTAAGCTTAAATATGATACAACATAGGTCCCAATCTACAGCTTGACCTCCTTGAACGGATACTTTGCCGAGTCATCCTTGCGCAGGACAATCTTCCTCTTCTTCTTGGTGCTTGCATGCTCGACCCAGACCTCCTTTGTCATCTTGGCGGAGAAGTCGCGGATGAAGCGGGGATCCCAGAGTTCGCTGGCGATGCCGAGGTCCTTGCAGCAGCGCATGAGCGCATTGGACTTGCAGCCCTCGGTGGCGGTCGGGATGCCGTCGGGGTCAAAGTATTGTTGTTCGCCACGGGCAATGGAGACGAGGCTTCTTCTTGTCAGGATGGTGGGCTGGGGGCTGGGGATGGTATTGTTGAAGAGGGGGGGTTAAAGGTGGGAGAGAAACAAGAGGGAAAAAGGGGACTCACCGTCCCTGAACGATCAGGCCATATTCCCTCGTCACCAACTTGCCCGTCACAATACTTTCCCCCCTGGGCGCGAGACCCCACCCCCCTGGTCCAAACGCCTTGTTCAGTATACGCCTGTATTTAATCTCAGGGAGGTATAAGATCCCATCGGGCTTAACTTCGACATCGTCCTGTGTAATGGGCGCAAGGAGAGTCTCCGCTTGCTCGGGGGTAAATGATATACTGCCTAAGCCATGGTACGAGCGCGTCCAGTCTACAGCGGGCACGCCTTCGATTTCCGCAGGCGCGTCGGAGAGACCGTCGGTGAGGGACCGCTGCGAGCGTGCGAGAGAGTCAGCGGTGGTGGAGCGAGTGGTGGGTACGGGCGGTTCTTTGGCAGGGAATGAAGGGACTACTGTGCGTGGGACGGCGGCAGCGGTGGTTGTGGTGGTAGTGCTGGATGATGGCGTAGCAGCTGATTTTGCAGCGGGGGCAGCACTAGATGTGCTTGTCGATGTAGCAGGTCTGCTATACGAGGACGTAGTCTTTGCTGCCGTCGATGTCGTTGTGGCGCCGGCTTTGGGCGCGGTCGCGTATGTGGCGCTGCGGCGGCTGGTGGTGGAGATATGGCGGTATGGGCGTGGTAACCGGTAGGCGAGCGGGGCGGCTCTGGAGGAAGAGGAGGTCGTGTTCAGCAGTGCAGAGAAACCTCTGCGGGTGGGTATGGTTGCCATTGTTGGGTGGGGCGAAATGGTGATACAATGGCGAAGAAATGGCGAGGGGTGGTGTGTAGAGGCTTACTCGAGTTCATCACCGGATAGCGATGATGTAGTTGA